ACTACACATAGTCCTAGTGACTGATACAGACTACTACTTGCATCATTATCCTTCTTGGATATTAATGTCACTCCATCCAGATACTAGACATATGACCGGACTTAAGACAGAATGTGGGACTTTTCATACAGTCTGTCTTAATGAGCCATATGAAAATAGTAAATCTGCTTCAGACAATCACATTATACATGCACGTGGTACCATGCTAAATAATAACCTGCTGATCCTGAGTTAATAACTAATGCTCAAGCAAAAAAGGTAATGCATCATCGGGGAGGGGAGAAGGGCTTACTTCAAATGACAGCTTATTCGAAGGTGTGCTTTTTTGAGCAGTGGGAACTTTTTATCGCTTCGATTTATTCCAGAGAAAACGCAACTCTTCATGTGGATTGTCACGATACAAACAACAACAAAAAGGATATCCAGGCATTGACAATGACATTTAACCTTCCTTACTTCCTGGTTTACCAAGGAACTTTCACCAGGTCCGGGTCCGTTGAGCTATCTTCAGTTCGTAACAACACTGGCCGTCTGGTATTCCAGGTAAGCAACCGTAGTAAATCAGATGTCTTCAAATTCTGTAATACGTTTTCTAAGGTTTATCAAATCGAAAATGGAGCTCGAAACAATCCATGTACTTGTCGAGCAGTCGTTCAGGGTGGAAAGATCGCGTGACGAACCCGAAATACAAAAGTTTTGGGGGAAAGATCGCTTGACATACCCTGTGTAGTATGAAAGATTCTGACCTCCTCCGCTGAAAAGTTTAAGTTCAAAGTGTTAGGATATTCCTGAGGAATCCTATATGTGGCCAAAAATAACTCAGACTGGAGACACCAACAAGTCACGTAATCTCATGTTGCTTGGTGACGCAGCTGTCACTACAAAACAACAAATTCATAGCAGTCCGACTAAGACTACAACTTTCTGTGAGAAATCGAACAAATCTTAAACTTGAACAGTAAAATTACTTTCAATCCAACCAAAGAACGACCCGAAGCAAAACGAAATCAATTCCAGATTCCTTTAGCAACTTTGTTGACAATTATCAAAACTTAATTTTTTTTGGTATTGCGTTTAGTTTTCGTCTTTCAAGAAGTCTGAAAACATCAACCTCGACATTAGGCTTCTCGTGATGAAACAAGACCGCGTGCCGAATGGAAAGGAGAGTACGTCAGCAGGTCGCGTGGATCTTTTGTACCAAAGAGGAATTGAAGGGTGCTCTCAAAGTCTCCACACCTACAGAAACTTTGAAATATTGGTGTATAACCCAGGTTAGACAACAAAACATAGCCTTTTTCCGGCAGTCGGCATATTTTTTTTTGTTCCCGTAGCTTGTGTACACTATTATGGTCCACTTTAACTCAATGCAGTACTTGAGTGATGTAAGACGTGTGCTTTCTGGCGCTGTAATGAACTCAAAGTGCAATACCAATCATAGCGGAGGCAATTCATTGAACACATGATGTAAAACCGTATCTGCTATAACACCCTTTATTGTACTTGTATTGCGCCCAGGTACTTCCATTTTTCGTTTTCAATCCAACGTTTTCAAAGATACTACTTTTTTCGCAAAGTTTCGCAAATTATATAGTGCTTCCTTTCTCTAAAATTTTAAGGCATGCGCTGTTCTAAACACCTTCCATAACAACAAAGAAACAAAGAAACTAGCAAACAAACGCAACAAAACCTGAAAGACAATAAAACGAGGAAATACTTACGCTACTTATTTTTATTATACGGCTAGTTCCGTGAGTGGGCAAGATGAATCGAATCCCTGCGCTGTGATTGGTTACCCGAGGGGTCAAGATGGCGCTATCTTGGCCACTCCTTGGGATTACGCGCTGTGTCCCACAAGAAAATGTAATAAATCCCTTATTGACAAAGTTTGTTCAGTCAAGATGGCTGGAAATTGGCTTCTGCTCGTTCTGCTGTGTGCGCGTTTATAGATCTCGACTCCGTCTCGGTCCATAAACATGAAAAAAAGAGCTTGGCCAATATCCAGCCATCTTGACCTCAAGGTTGGTCAGTAACCCGTATATCTTAATTTAAATTCTTCAGACTGTGAGAACTTTGGTCCCTTGGGGATGACAGACGGAAGCATCAAAGAAAGCCAGCTGATTGTCTCCTCAGTGTTCCAAATACTCAGTCATAAAGTTGGTCAAGAGCCATACGGCGCCGGATTACATAGAGAGGAGTACTGGGCACCAGCTGCCGGTCTCTCTTCACATGACCGAAGGCAGTACGTTCAGGTCGACTTCAGAAGTCTTAAAGACATCAAAATGGTAAGATAAACCTGAAAAACGTGCAAATAAAGTACAATGTTATTTGTGAAAAACCCAGCGGCTTTATGGTCTGTGTGTTAGATTTCCGTACTTAAGCGAGATATATTCCTATAAACATTTTTCAAACACGCTTTCAAGCTCTGGCTTTAGCGAAAAAATTACTTGTGTTTACTTCAAGATATCAATTCTTTCCATTTTAGAACTTCAGCATAAATGATCTATAATTAACTGAATGACTTGGATGATATTTTATCGTTTTAATGATAACTAACAACGCTCGTCTTACAGTTATTATATATTTGATAGATATCAGCTCAAGGTCATCCGAATTCAAAGGCGCCGATTGAATGGATGCAAATCACATCGAGCAATGATGGGCATCTCTGGAAAGACTACAGTAACAAGAATATTAAGGTGACACACTGATCTTAATTAAGCAGGCTGAGAACAAATTGAAATTTGCAAGTCCTTTAGTATGGGAAACTCCTGCACCTTCTTTTTTTCGCGTTCAGGTTTTAACGCTCGGTTGTGTTCTTGCAATTGGGAAAGGCTAAGAAAGGATGAAGGCTAATGATAGTTAAGGAGGAAGCGTGGAGGCAGGAGGCAGGAGGTAGCGTGGCAGAGTGGTTAGGGCGCTGGACTTGAAAAGTCCCGCTCTGACCACTAAGCTGGAGTTGTTTCATAGTAGACCCTAGTTCACCTCCTCAGTCATGCTTGTAAGTAGCCAACTGGTCTGCGTTATCCCGCCAGTTGGGATTTTTAAGCCTAATATGTTTAGTTGATATATATTGTTTCTTTCAGTTTAAGTGGCATGCTTGTGAACTAGCTAGGTGTAGCTAAGCGCATCGACCACTATAAACATCAACATTTGAACATGGTATAAGCTTTATCTACCAAGTAATTCCTTTCAAGTTATTTTTAGACATGATATCCAGTTTGGTCGACGATATTAATGCCGCGCGCGTTGCGTGGATGTTTTCGTCGAGGTTGAAAATGGGTAAAGCCACTTGGGCTAATCACGTGAGAAAAAATTGCGTCACAGAATTGGCTATACATCTAGACTTTCCTGGGACTGTTAGTACCGGGACTGATCCAAAAATAACTTAGGAGGGGTTACCTTGAAAATAAGACCCCTTTTTATTGGGGATTTTAATCTCTTATTGATCATCCTCGCTTGGTAATTATAAGACACTTTACCTTCACAGTGAGTCTCCTCGCAAAAGAGTTTAACTGGGTATCCTTCTGAGATAAGGGGGATTGGGTTGGGGTGGAGGGGTGGGGGTGAGAGAGGAGGCGAGTTAATGCTTCTAGACATGAGAACTAAACACGGCTTCTTTGACACTTTTGTATCGGAACAAGCTTGATCTATACCTGGTGGTAAGTTCTTTGCGGGTTCTTGTTTGGTTTTTGCCAACTAGATTGGTGACCTCAAATGTATTGGCTTAAAGGTTGCCGTAGATTTACGCCAAATCTATGATAACAGTAAAAAAAATGAAGATAACTTATTATGAGAACTTTAGTCAAAAGCCAAAAGAATTAATTGAAAGTAAACAAACATTTATTGTTGTCTTACAGGTTTACGTCACAATTGGTGCTTTAGAGAAAGCCTTGTTGACAGCACTTCTAAGGACGCCGCTGACAACGCGTTGGCTCAGAATCAGCCCCAGATTTTCGAACAGATTAATTGGATTTAGATTTGAGGTTTATGGGTGTTCATCGGAAAAGCAACTGTTTTCGTTTGAAGGCAAGACTAACATCGACAGTTCCAATAAAGGAGCATGGAATGGAAAAAAATACGCGTCTCGCAGAATTTTTGTCCAATTTCTAAGATCTCGCAGTCTCATTTTTTTTCCGTTTGAAACGCTGTCTCGGAGTCTCGATCCCTATTTTCAAGGCTTCGAAATTCTCGGGCTCGCAAAACGTATGTTTCGTCTTCTCGCAGTCTTGGATTTACTATTCGCTACCCCTTTATGAGGCACTAATACGATAAGTTTTCATTGCACTTTAAGCTTTTTTGATTTCGTTATGTGACTTCGTTGCTTCTAATACTTTCATGTGGTTCTCGTGTTCAGTTCGCGAGACAAGTTGTAACTAGATGGGACTGCAAGGTGGGGGGGGGGTATTTGGAGGTAACAACGTAATTTTTCACGCAACCCACCTCTCTTATTCCGTTCACGCGAACACCATAATCGTAAACTATGCTTAAATTCTCAAATTTTTTACCTCGTAAAAGGACATACTTGGTTAGCCTGGCGCTTGACATTCTCAAACAGGATCGCATAGAGGGTTTGCAATGAAAATGTGAGCTTTCACAATCTTAAAATATTTGTGATATCCTCTCTTTGGGCTAATAAGAGGAGGTAAAGAGGTTAAGGGCGATCTGAACAAAATCTAACCTGAAGTTTTAAGATAATTTATGGAGTGGCTAGGAGGTTAAAACACCTAATTCGAGCTATCAACCAGTGACAGCAGTCAAGACGTCAAGTCAACAGGGGCCTTGCTTAAGTTATGACTACTAAATAAAAATTCTAAATATCTCGTTTAAAAAAACAACTTTAAAAGCGGATGAAAAGGAAACTTAAAAATACAAATGGGAAAGTACGGGTGGGAAAATACATTTGTAACGTAACTATCGCTTAGTCATCCTCTGTCCTGTTTTCATAGAAGCTGGGTCTCATAAGGCACTTACAAAACATATACAGGCATGATCTATAAAGTTTTTGAAAAATTACGCGCTAATGACAGCCGTTCATCATTTCATCCAACTGTTTAATAATTAGATGTTTTCTTTTTCCTAGATCCTCCCTTAGGAATGGAATCTGGAGAAATTACTGACAACCAGCTAGATTCGTCGTCCAACATGGGCTCACGTTCTGTAGCTTCCAATGTTCGATTAAACCTCCAGCTCATGTTGCCGTTAGGGGTGGGAGCCTGGTGCGCACCACAACAAAGTGAAGAATATTGGCTTGTAGTAGACTTGGTCACTAGTCACGTGATCTCCGCGGTGAGTCGCTCTTAATCCGCTGGTATTCGCTACGTAAAGTGCTCGATTGTCCGAGCGGAGGAGGCTGGGGTAGAAAAAAAGGAAACCTACTTACTAGTGACCTGGGAGATGACAAATATACCTTTTTATACGCAGGTATCGTCACAGTGTAGATATCCCATGTATGCGAGCGGTGATAGGCTTTACTGCGTGACGTCATATGTTGTAATGTACCCACTGGAAGATTCGGATTATTGGACAGAATACAAAGAGAATGGAATGACTAAGGTAATAAGAGGCTATGCCACACATTCACTGTTTCATGTGTAACAATATGTTAAGTTTATGAGGCTACCAAGCGTTCTGTGATCAACATGGTTCCAATTAACCAAACATTTTTCGGCAAGCGTTCTTCTGAACCCTAAGCCTTTGACCGTGGAGTGTGAGAGAAGATCAAGCAAGAGGGAAATGTGACAGAGTGGGCTTTGCACATATAATTATATTTTCCAATTTGCACTTTGCTGACTGCATCCTCTTGAAATTGCACGAAAACGTGCCTGTTCTAAGAGAGATTTTAGGTGCAAATGATTGTTATGACCATATGATTTTGGGAAAGTGAGCTGCTTGTCAAGTCTCATATTAACACAATTCAGAGAAGAGACTAAAGACTGGTCAGGAATAATTATAATTTGAAAATAATAAATGTAATTTATTCATAGATTTCACCGTTCACTTTCTTGTTCATAAGAAGCTTTTTTCTACCTCATTTTTTACAGGAATTTCTTGGGAATTTTCAGAGGCACATTATGATCAAACATCATCTTATGAAGCCAATTACAGCCACAGAGATTTCTTTCGTTCCTTTGGCCAAATCATCTTATAACTTCTGTATGCGCGTTGAGCTGTACGGAAGAAAAGTGGTGGAAAAGAGTTCTGGTGAGTAGCTGTACATCATGTGCTATAAGGATGCCTAGTGTTAAGAGGGGAGAAAGGGTTGTAGATGAATTTAATGTTTTGTTCACTTGAGCGGAAAGGCCATGCTTATGTATGAAGTATAGTTCGCGGAATGGATGACGATGACGAAGACGACGACGACGACAACGACGACGACAACGACGACGATGATCATGATAATGATGATGATGACTGTAATCATGGCCTACCCTCCCCTCGGAAAAGGTAGACTTCCCCCTCTCGCAGGTGTACCCCTCCTCTGTCCTCTTGGACTTTTTTCTTAGCTGAGGTTGACTTCCCCCTCAGTGGCCGACCCTCCCCCCGTTGGTCGACTTTCCTCTCATAGAAGGTGGACTTTACCCTCGTGCTCTAAATGTAACTATAAACGTTGTTTATATTATTTTATTAAAAATGGATCTTTGGACAATGCAATTTAACAGTCATTGGCTTAAAAGAACTCGCGTCACTTTTTCATCCAATCAGAAGCAAAACCAAACGAATCAAGATTCAGTCACACACGTTTTGCCACGTTCAGCGTCAACGCCATGCATTTGTTTGGAGTTTTGATTGGTTCACTGGACTGCCTATGTACTCTGTGAATGGCCAGTTCGAGAGATTACTTGGGTTTCCTTCTATTACAAAACTCAACTGAAAGAAAGCCGCTTTATTTCATTGCGGTTTTATTGACAGGAAGATGCTATGTTGCGCCTCAGAATCGTGGAGATTGTGGTTTTCCGGGGACTTCTAGGAAACAATGTGAAGACAAAGGATGTTGCTTTGACGACACCATAGACGGCGCTATATGGTGTTTTACTCCACAAGGTTTGTCTCTGTCTATCATCACTCATTCGAAGTACACTTACTCCAGTCCATCGCCAGAGAGTTGTTAGGGAAATTAAGCAATAACGACGGCAACTCAGCGAGGACAACGCCTAGGAAAAAAATGAACTTATATTTTACCCTCTAATTTCGCAATTGTCTAGTGCGCCTATCGGTCCCAGAAATTGCTCAAACTAAATATGTAATGCCAGCGTTCAATTCCATTAAAGATACAAAAAATTAGCCGACGTCGTTCGCGTTCTCCAAAATACGCAGAAATGAGTCGAGTCATTTCATGCACAGACGGCCCAAGCTCACGACGGGAGGATACTATACTATTACACAACGACCGAGTTTGAATACGCGAAATGTGGCTCTTGGCTGCTTAAAAAAGTCCATAAAATCTCATTAGTTAAAACGTTGCCAGTTTGACAGCTAAAAGTTGAACTTGAAAGCTTGTATAAATTAAAATTTTATCCATCTGCACTCTTAATAATGATAAAAATGAGCCAATCAGAGAGCGAGAAATTAGACAGTTATTGTAAAAATGCATTTTGAGCATAATCTCAGTAATTGTGTGAGCGAGGACAGAGTGCTTGATCAATATACCTAATCGTACTTTTTTGGCAGGCTTCGACCGCATATCAGGCGAGTTTGGTCGAACATGGTTCGTACCTTGGCGAGACGTAGTCAAGCCAAAGTACCGTTGGCGAAACCAAACGGGCCTGATATACCACTGAAGCGTACAAAAAGGTACGATAAGGTATTTACCGTGCCCAGCTTCGGTCAAGTAAGCATGATAATAGCCATATCAGGTCAGTGACTTGATATCGCAGGATATCAGCACAGTAGACACGGCTCCTGATTGGCTAATTGCGAATCTGGGTACGGTAATCTAAAAATATTATTCTTCTCTTTCTTTTCAGAGAGCCGAATGGTTTTTCCAGAACCGCAGTCGATCATGAACTACGCTAAAGTAGAAAACGTCATCTCAACTGAACTTAGCAAGTTATCGCTATGCTTTTTAGTAAAAGCTCTTCTAGATCTATCGAAAACCGAAAAACGCTACTGTCTTTTCAGCTACGCAGAGACACATGGCCGTGCTATTGTGGTCTATTTGTATGCCGACAAAGTCAAGTTCAAGATTGGTTTCAAAACATATAGGTGACATTTTATTCTAGGAATTCATCTGATCTATTATGAAAACGAAAATTCCTTAAACAGTCCATATTTAACACTTATTCACCGAAGTGGAGGTAAAATAATACCCATCACTTTCACCTCCACTTCGGTGAATAATTGTTTTAGTATATACCACAAAAGATGGAAACCCTTTCCTAAGAAACAACTGTGGTTCGACTTCTAGAAAAGTATACGCGCTTGATTTTATTTCCATAAACATACCAAGGAGAGCTCGGCCAAAATTTCGGACGGTTTTACTGTCGGACATTTTTTTAGTCCGAAATTGAAATCGTCCGAACTTTTTGCAAGAAATGTAAGTGATCACCCATATGTACTTTGATTTCACGACTCCTAAAGGCCTTGAAATCACTTCGTGCGATAAAAAATGTGCAGAGAGAAGAGCAAAAAGGGAAGATAAGAGAGTGGAAAAAAAAAGTATCGTATACCATCGGTTGAGCAGGGCGCGATCTCTTTAACAATGTTTTCATAAAACAAACATATACGTATGTAAAACAATGATGTTTTGCGCATGATGACAACCCAGGTGTTTCAGTCAGTTTTTCTGTACACTATGCTTGTGTGGTGGCCGGTAAGGAATTGAAAAATGTACTTTTCAGAGGTCTTTGGAAATCATTGTTACCCGGGGGGACTCTGTAAACTTTTATACGGGGAGGCTCCGCCCCGAAGTGACCCCTTACCCTTTACGACACTATTTTTTAACAGAAAAGGTAAGCCTTTCGTATACATTTAATCGAAACAAGTCACCCCCCGTCCACATACTTTTATAACTGGCCCGTGTTATGAACAAATCACCAAAAAGGGAAGTCTTTTTGTTAGTTTCATTTAGTGCCTAATGAATAAAATGAACTTCAAATCAAATCAAATCAAATCAAATCAGATCAATTCAGATCAAATCAGATCAAATCAAATCAAATCAGATCAAATCAGATCAAATCAGATCAAATCAGATCAAATCAAATGAAATCAAATCGAATCAAGACTTTATTTATTCTCTGTAAAGATTAAAACTATAAGCTTTAAGCTTATGGGGCCGTGCACTAAAAAAGTAATTAAAATAAATAATAAAGTAAAAATAATAAATACTGTAATCTACTGTTATATTACAATTAATTGTATTATATTACAGTTAATTGCACTGAAAATCATACAATTAAACCTTCTATCTGCAATTACTAAATCTTCTTTGTACCGTTCCCACCATCCCCTAATCAATTTAGTTCATATTCCCCCCC